TCGGTAGACATCAATCTACGTCAATGTCTAGGTCACTAATATTGGCCATGAGAAAATATGAACAAGGCTGATTCAACAACCAATCACAGCAGACTTAATGTGGCCAAATATGATTCACAGATAGATGGCTCCATTTTCCGAGGTAACCTGAAACAATCAATCAGAAGCCTGCGTTTGTTTGCTTAACTTCAGAGAAACAACCAATTAGAAGACTGCGTTCGTCTACTTGAATAAGCTATAATAATGTACAGGTGTAACAACAGAAGACAAGGGCCAGGCAACAGATAATTTTATTATGAAAATCAACACGTATTTATACATATTTCACATACATTATTATAGCTTATGCAAGTAGACAAGCCCAGTTATCTGATTGGTTGTTTATCAGAAGTTAGGCAGACAAACGCAGGCTTCTGATTGGTTGTTTCGGGATTCCTCGACAAATAGAGTTCTCTATCTGCGAATCATATTTTGCCACGTTAACTTTGCTGTGATTGGTTGTTGAATCAGCCTTGCTCATATTTTCTCACGGCCTGCTCTCACCACACAGGAAATATATATAAATATGTGTTGATTTCCGTAATAAAACGATCTGTTGCCGGGTCTTCTTTTTTTACATACTAACTATTGCGGGCGTATGGTTTCCTATATAGGCTTCTGGTTCTGCCTAATGAGATACAAGGGGAGAGTTGTGAATTAAGAGGACGGTGTGAGTTAGATAAAATGGATTAAGCCCATTTTTCACATGAGTCCGTGTGCCTGTCAACGAGAATGGAGACCTTGGCAATTCGTGAATTTAGGCCGGACTTTTGTATGCAAAAAAAGTATGTACAGTCCCTACTTTTCCTTTGACCGTAAAGGGATAGACATTTATTTATTTATTTTGTTTATTTAGTTAATCTACGTAGCTTTCCCTCATTATTATGACTATTATTGTCAATATTCTCAGTTTCAACTGTTTCCGTCATTATTTCACTTGTGTCATTTGCTATTCTAAATCAAATCATTTCTGAGATGTTATATTGTGTCCTATCAAATTTCACATGTTATGTAACATTTTATAATTTAGATGTGTCCAAACCAAGTTCACTTTAAACAGTTTGAGAATTTTTCTGGCATGGGGTTAGGGTTTGCATTTCTCAATAAATGAAAAAGACAAAATGATATTGTTGTGTTTACTGACGTTTAGCTATTTCAAATGGTGCTAAAAGCTTTATCAAAGTAGTAATACTAAACCAGAATTTACAAAATTTCAGCTTATAAATAACAACACAATCATCCTTCATCAGCACGAGGTGGTGATTTTTCACGTTGTTTTCATGTTGGCCAATTAGTACAGATGAAAAAAAACCATGTGGAGATGACTGCTGGATTTGATAAGTGTATCAAATTACAAATGTAACATATGTTTACATAATGAAATTACCTATCATACATTCCTGTTGGTTTTGCAATTTCAAGGTTGACGGGGTGCTGTAACCACTTCAAACTCCGTTTAAGTCCATCATTCCTACCTATTCAGACAATTTGAATTCCATTTGATATGAAGGGCTTCTGATGATATTAGACTTTCTTTGTTATTTCCGAAATTTTTCTGTATTATTTCCCCATTGTCAAAAACAATTTTTTGACCTGATTCTACAATGTCGCGTATAGACCGATGGCTGATGATTTTTTTCAAGTTTTTCTAGTTCAACTAGATTTCTCGGCGGTCGAGCGGATTCTCTATGGTGTTCATTTCTTCTGATCTCAAATCCTCTCTGGAAAGATTTCTTCAGTATTTATCGTAGCTTATTCCAAGCAATTTATTTTATAGACACAGTTAGATTGAGAATCCCCTGAAATTTCGGTCTTCTAAAGGATGAGGTTACTTCGCAGTGTGTGTTTTGAAGAAAGCTCTGATGTCGAGCTTATTGATTACTCGTCTGATATCATCTCACGTTTCTGCTCTATATGTGATGATGACTGTTGATGTCCATGTTTTCGGAACACATTTTCGATTATAATTAATGTCAGAGTTGATTTTGTTGATGACGATCTTTGGGTAGTTTTTTTTGCTTGAGAGCCTCAGTATTGTTTGATATTTATTATTTATTTTTATTTTTGTTTACAGCTTGATTCCACACTGTATTTTTGGTACAAGTATGGAATTTTCAGCGTGTATATCGGTAGCCCAAATTTCGCAGCCGACCATAGATATCAGGTGTGCGTCGGCGAGGGCTCGAAAGCCGGACCATGTGCATGATCGGCGAGAGTCCTAACCACTGTGCCACCAACGCACAATTTCTTCTTGTATTTCCTTCTCATCCGTTAACATCAGAGACTGTGCTCGTCTCAGAAGACTTGAAACACCTAATACTTTTGCGCTGATGGAGTTTGATGATCCAAAGTCTAAATATTTGTTGGATTGTGTTTTCTTCCTGAATATAGGTACACTAAAATGTCCATTTTCTTTCATTTTGACTGGGTAGTCTAGAAATGGTGGTTCACCGAAACCTGATTTTGCTTCCGAGGTAGACTGGATTCTAGGAGATAGACTTTTCAGTTTCTCCAAGAATACTTACTTTTACTTTACTTCGGCTATCTCCTGCGGGAGGATGAGCCGGCTTCATGAACGAAGAGAGTTCATGAAGTTTCATGGGAATTCGGTACGAGTGATGTCCCCAGCATCGCTCGGCCTTTTGTTTGAGAGTGCAGCTCTAGCCTTTACACAACCAAGTGTGACCTACAACGCAGTAAGAGTGGAGTAGGGAGTCCACTATCCATTGGCAGCCGGTGACCGGAGTTCGGTTCATACGCCTTTTTGAATGGGGCCAGACATCCAGGACATCCAACAAGCCCTTTGTCCATACGTCTGCCGGTGAGCTCCAGTGAGCTTCATACGCTAGTCGTTGGAGGTTTGGAATCAGGGTTTAGCCATCTCCCCGAGACTGTCATCCAATGGACAGTCAACCCGGTGAAGAGCGTCGGGCATCCGCTTTCGCCCTCTCACTTTGGTGAGAAACACCTCCAAGAATGAATTATATGGATCTCATTTAGCACACTAAACGTATCTCCCACCTATCTTAACCATATTTTGAGTGTGAGTATGCTTGTAAAGATGTTATCTTCAAATCTATTCATGAAAAGACTAGCAACTATTGGGGAAACTGGTGAACTCACAGCAACACACACGAATGTGACAAGCAATTTCATTGTGTAAAAACACATGCTGATTCTATAATTTTCTACATTTATCAAAGCCAACATTCATATCCACTTGACAACAACGTAAACATTACCATCTGATACTGAGATTTTATAAATTCTAGTTCAATACTACTACTTTGATAAAGTTATTAGCAGTGGCATTAAATAGCGAAATGTCAGAGAAAACAACTACATCACTCACTGAGATATAGAAAATCTTTTGTAATAATGAATACCGTTTTATATTTGCCTACTAACCTTATAATAACACACCCCCTTCTAACATCCATATATTTTATGAAATTGTTTTGTATATAGATGGACATTGTTTGTTTTACCACTTGACACCAGATATTGAACTATGATTATTATCTCCAATTATCTGAGGCTTACTAGTGACTGGCCCTATTCAGGCAGTTAACCTGGTGTGTTCTAGTGGGAAGTCGTGACCAGTAGGGTGCAGAAGGTTGAAGGCGAAGCAATAACTCATGGAAGAAGAAGACATTGGGAAGTGGTCTTGCTATGTCATCAATTGGTAGAAGATAGAATTCATGAGCTGACTGATGAATTGGGTGCCAGTGGCTGCTGAATAGTCAACGAGGTAGCTCACCTTGTAACCAGAAGGTCCTGGGTTAGAACCTTCTGTGGTTGGCGCGTACTGATGAAGAGTCACGAACTAGGCTGAAGCAACAGCTGTCCAGTAATTCCAGGTGGTTTTTCAGTGGTTCTCTAGCTGATGTCAGCTCCAACTGATGAATTCCTCCATCCAGTATGATTATAATCACAAACATTTCAACTGCATTTCACACCACAATTATTATTATTGTTTTATGTATTCACACCTGTAATTCAATTTTCTCACGAGATATAATTTCTTAAAACAACTATATATATACGACTGTACAGCTTGATAATAAATTCGTTTTCAAGTATTGATTTGTAGGGATTTGGTTGATTGGTCACAGGATTTCATCATGAGCTGACATTGGCTAGAGAACCATTAGAAAACCTGGGAGTACTGGACAGCTTTTTCTATTGTCCTAGTTTGGGGCTCTTCAACAGTACGCACCCACCGCAGATGGTTCGAACCCAGGACCTTCTGGTTACAAGGCGAGCCAACTCGTAGACCATTAAGCCACTGGGACCCAACCCAATGGCCCATGAATTCCAACTTCTGCCAATTCACGATATAGCGCGTACTGCTAAAGAATCGCGAACTAGGACGAAACAGCTGTTCAGTGCTCTCAGGATTTCCAATGGTTCTCTCAACAATGTCAGCTCATGATGAAATCGTGTAACCAATAAATTTATTGTTGGAAAGAGTCTCTTCGCTCAATTATTTGCTTTGATTTTCTATATACATATATATGTCATGGATATTTTCTCACTGGCATTCAACTGTAGTGTGAAGTGATTTGGCTTTCATGATACATGTGACAGTTGGTCGGTTACTGTAATCTTTTTCTTTTCTTCACAATTTCATTCATCTAATTTCTATCCCTAACCAATTATCTTTGACGAAAAAAAGAAAAGATTAATACTACTATTAAGATTCATTCAGTAATAAATAACCTTCATTCTAATTGGTCAATTGCCCAATAATCATTCGTCTATTTGTCAACCAATCATCAATCAATACAGGCATCAATTCTCGTGTTGTGTTATGTGTAGACAGAGTATCTTATTGGTTAAATCATTTTGACCAGAAATTGTTAAGTGGATCGTCACATCATAATAATAAGAGACTAACTAACTTGATTTTACCCGCCCTCAGTCAGTCAGTCACTCACTCACACGCTGTCTCTATCACTCTCTCTCTCTCTCTCACGCATCCAGCACATAGAGGCTTTAATTTCACTTATTCATTATTCATTATGCCATATATGATTACAAACTTAATGACAATAATTATACACTACAATATTCAACAGGATAAGAATTTCAAAAATCGATAACTTGATTAAAACTCACGCCGAAAATACCGAAAACAACAAACAACAAATTTCATCATTAAGATACACATGTCAACAAAAATCTAGTCCAGTCACTCGAATTTGAGATATATATTGTGCGTATGCTATGAAAAGTCAACACATAAAAGATTAACTAACGAACTACTACCGCGGATTGACAATACTCTCCAATATCACATGAATACATTTTAAAAAATCCCCTTGGATTATTTATATATATATTATTGATCTTTTCCTGATCTCTGATTTTTGATTCTTACTTTTATTGATTGCACGGGAGAAAAAGAGGCGTGGGAAAATAAAATTATGGGCTGTGTACACACAAAATCATTTTGGGATAAATCAGCAATTATTGATGAAGAGACTGATAAACCGGAAGTTTCACTGAATGTAAGTTGCCTAAAATGAAAAAGAATTTTTTGTATTGATTGGTTCCTTCAATTATCCCAATATTTTGATCGTTATTGTATTTATTTATTGATTGATTGATTTATAAGATGTGTGTGTTTTTCGGATCTGTTATGTTAATTAGTGTAGATATTATTTTGATCACAGCTTGATTCCACACACTGTATTGATGGTACGTCGGTGGCACAGTGGTTAGGACTCTCGCCGATCATGCACATGGTCCGGGGTTCGAGCCCACGCCGACGCACACCTGATATCTATGGTCGGCCTGCGAAATTTGGGCTATCGATATCCATGCTGAAAATTCCACACTTGTACCAAAAATACAGTGTGGAATCAAGCTGTAATCAAAAACAAAAAACAAAAATAAAAGAATAAATAAAGTACAAGTATGGAATTTTCAGCATTGGATATCGGTAGCCGGAATTTTTCAGGCCAACCATAGATATCAGGTATGCTTCGTCGGCAGGGGATCGAACCCCAGACTACTATATGCATGGTCGACAAGAGTTATACTCACTGTGCCACCGACGCACACAAGAACGCAGTGATTTTTTCTGATTTCTGAAGTGAAGGAATTTTTAATTTTAATACAAATGAAAATGTGTGATGATGGTGGACAACGCTGATGAGGAGACAGAGAGAGAGAGACAGATAGGAGAATAATGAAGCATAATGCTCTTTTCTGCTGGTGTTATTGTACACATACACACACACCCACACAAAATTTAAGATTGCCTAGGACGTTTACGTGCCCAACATCTTAAAGGGAGTTGTTGTGAGGCAGGACTACGAAAGCACTCATTCAACAGACGTGGACGATATCGTACCAGTTGTTCATAGCCTTCAGTTTCACAGACATCATGAGCACGTAGCATTATAAACTCAAGGGTGCATTGTGCATATCAGCAAGTCCAAATATATCACAAGCATTCTCGACTGAAAGACTTTCGACAAGTGCTTCTTCACACATTGTCTTCAGCCGTTTTAACTGATACTTGTCAGCAGCTGCTAATAATTCATGCGCCAACCGATCCATACCAACAACTTGTCCATAATATATATAACGTAGAACTTCAGTCACAATATCTGGTTCCATATCTGTAATTTCAACTCGATTAGCTCTAGACTCTTTCATGCCATGTTCAAACATTGCAGCAAACACCTGGCTTCTAGCAGCTAGAATAGCTTTGTGCTTCAAATTGTCGAAGGACAACACTAGAAGCCTATAGATAGATTATGAATTGACACACGAACAGAGCTCCCTCTATCAGAGTTGTGTTGAGCTTGCAATTGTTACATGATGCCAGTTAATGAATGCTACTCAGAGAATTACATTTATATACAGAGAGTTTTTAACCAGAAAGTTCAAATTCAAACAGCAAAATCAATTTCAAGCTTGACTATGATTTGATATCAGTTAGAGAACCATTGAAAACCGACCAGGAGTACTGGACGTATGTTTTGTCGTAGTCTGGTACTCATCCACAGTGTGCACCCACCGAATTTCCATATCTCCTAGTGCTCGAGCAGTGACTGAATAGTTTACGATAGTTTATCATGTAACCAGTAGGTCCTCAGTTCGAGCCCCACCAGAGTCCCTTAACCAGACTGATGAAAAAACTGTCCATCACTGGTTTTCAACGGTTATCTAACTGAAATAAATCCGTGATCAAACTTGTAAAAATCGGATCCCTAGAAACACACTTTTGAAAAGTATAAATATCTGTGCACAATGATAAAAGAGTTACATAATAAAGTCAAGAAGTGAGTAAGATGGTGAGCAACTGATAAAGTGAGTAACAGTGTGATGATCTCAACTCATATCATAGGAACCAGAGACAAGCTAAATGAAACTGGATCATAGGGGAGACAGGTTATAGTCAAAAAAATTATATCATCAAATGAAAGAGAGAATAAAGACATCTGGTTACACGAAGGTAAGGAAAGTCTGATAGCGATTGTTTCGGTTGACAAACTTGTGGTGAGTTGAACAATATTGTCCACTGACGATTTCAAAGGATTTTATGATTTCTACCTCAAAATGTGTACCAAGGTGATATTTGGAGATAGCATCCTTGTGCACAAACTTTCGTTCTTGATTTATTTAAATCCATAAAGGGAAATAATAATCACAGTAGTAATAATCTGTTTTATTCCATAAGCAGTATCATGTGATGTATGAAATTGTATGGAGAGCTGTTGAAAACCGGGGAGTAACAGATATTCGTTTCGTCCTAATTTAGGATTTTTTAGTAGCACATGCCCATAACCGTACTGGGAATCGAACCTAGGATATTCGAATTCCGATGCCATCTCCTTGGTCGTTTGGTTACTCGGTTATCATTCGATTGTTCGCGAATACTGATACTGTCTACCCATGAATCAGATGTCCTATAGGTAAATAAATTAACCAAATCAGCAACAGATTCATGGGGAATTCTATATATTTGATTGGATACTAGTTGGTGACTAGTGTACTGAATCTAGTCATTTGTTTGATGCAGAATAAATTCTATTACTCAAGTGTTGGTTTGTAGGGATTTGATTGGTTTCAGGATTTCATCATGAGCTGACATTAGTTAGAGAACCATTGGAAAACCTGGGAGTACTGCACAGCTGTTTCGTCCTAGTTTGGGACTCTTCATCAGTACGCACCCACCGGGATTCGAACCCAGGACCTTCCGATTACAAGGCGAGCTCGTATACCATAAATTCTATTAGTCACTTTGCAATGTGGCCACCTGAAGGTCAATGGCGAGTCCAAATATCTCCTTAATGGTAACACCTCTAGCTGTGACTCTCTGTGGAGGGTGTGGATTCAAATCTCAGAAGGAACATGAGTTCCTTCAATGGGATTGTAGTTGGCCTTGCTGACTGACTTATGAATGCCAACTAGCCTGAAACATAAGTCGGCTAGGGCCTCAAATAATCAAATATCAAGAATTTTACATCTTCAATAATATATTCGTTCTCTGATTGTTTCCATTTTATTGATTTTTTATAAGTAACAAATAAATTTGAACTTGGCGGGACTCATATTATTCTGAATACTGATTTTTGAGTTATGAGTATTTATCTCGTCAGTGCATTCAGACAGTGCTTGCTGACAAAATCTTAGTAGGGATGAACACCAGAAATAACGCACTTAACCTTTTCTATATTCACGTTTTATGTAATTGAATTCGGTTCATTCAATGAGTTTAACATAATAAAGGTCAAAGTATTATGTCATCTTGGGAAATTTCGAGAAATTTAAGCATTTTACAGCTTATGAATAAGAAAAGGTGGTGTGAAGGGGTTTTGACGGTGGTTTGACCGTAGAATGATCACCAACTAAGCCCCACGTGGGTTCTTGCTGGCACATATTTATATCTCCCTTAGCCGATCGTAAATTTGAAAAACAGGTTAAGTAGGGCGTGAGTCTAGAGGCCCCATCCTGTAAGACCATCGTTGCTACTGAAACTTCAGAATTCAAGCTTGAAGCTCCAAGTTCCACTGAGGATGCAAAAGGAGTGGAAATAAAAGAACTGTTGACAATATTCTTCTCCTTTGATAACATACACTTTTAAAGTCGTTTGGTTGCTTCAAGATGATAATAGTCCTTTGACGAGGTCACCTCCAGAAGATACTTCTTCACGTAGACTGCATGTTTTTATGTTTGCATTAAATTGGCGCATAAGGACACTGTCAACCATTAATATTATCGATTTATGGTGTTATGCGAAAAGGGTCCATGTGGGGTAAAATATAAACGTCTTTTTGGGTCACAAAAATGACACTGTTTTTTCTCCCTTCAGGTTTTATGTTTAAGTCTCTAATGCGTGTTTAATTCTCCTGAAATGTAATGTACCATTTCAAGTTAATCGGTAGGACGTGTCCGTCAATTTTTCTGTTGGTTAAAATCAATATTCACACAGTTGTTTTTTCGTCCTTTTTGACTATTTGTAAATAATCTATGTTTCCTTGATTAAATTTTACTTGCTTGAATTACTGATTACGTCGTAGGAGAAAACTTGCTAGCTCAGTTAAACTAGACAACCTCAAAAAAAACCAGTGTACCGATGACATTGATTGGAACAGTCGTGGTAAATGTGATATTTCCTGGTCTTTCTGAAATATATTTCGTCTAAACTTGTATTTGAGGAAGTTAAAACAAACTGATATCACTCAGTCAGTCTCTAATTTAACAGTTTGTCAATTCCTGCATTCCGTCTATTCCGCCTTATTTTCTCGCCTTAATCTCTCCCGGGCTACCTAACAAAGACTTCTTTGTTACACTACGGAGGGCCGGAAAGCTGTCAATAGAGCCAGTGGGATGTCGATAAATCAACTTGTTAGTACTACTGTAGATAGATACACTGATTCAAGCATGATATTAGCGAATATCATCTTATCGAACCCTGAGAATCCTCTCTATACACAACTACTTCTTTGCTGCATTTCATCAGGCAGGGAAACTAGGAGCAGGTGTAGACGATTTCATGTTTGGATCATTAGGTGTAAGCATTTGTTATTAGGAATATGATGTTTTAGTAGCTTACTCCAACTAGTCGGTACAAGGTCACTGACCAAGTTGTTCGGCTGAAGTCTTAAACCACCGTGATAGCCTAGATTACCTTTGAAATGGTTACAGTGATTTGATTAGCTCACCTACTGCCAGTTGATTGAAGGTGTTCATATTCTACTGGGAACTTCTCTTTTTGTGTGCATCACAATCCAAGGGCTAATAAAGATACGAAAGGTGGTTCCTGTTCTATTTCTAACTAACTCATTCCAAAACCTCACCTAGTTTACTCCTAGGAAGGTAGGATGTGAGACTAACAACATAACTCCTTGATTACAACACCATTGACACTGAAACTTCAAGACGATTGAAGAACTACGTTCCACTTGGAATGCCAAGCCTAAGAATGCACAATAATTCACACGTCTTGGAATGGGAGTGGAAAATCTTCTTTTTTTTCAGAGTACATGAAGTC